CGAAGTGAAGTAAAACTGTCTTTCAGTGGTTCAAGCAGTTACAAACGGATTTGTTTGACCAACAGTCTAAAATCCAAAGATTCTCATTAAAAATAACTAAATTAACAATTTATATTAATTTAAAAACTATTTGATTATAAAAATCGTTGCTGATTTATTTTTTCTCCACCTTCTAACTGATAAATTGACTAATTGAAGCAGCTTTAGTTCTTACAATTATTTTATTTAACAATGATTAATTGAAATGACAAATATTCACATCCATCCATCCTTGTTCTCCCCTTCTGGTGCTGCAGGAACAGGTGTTGTTCCTCGCTCTTGCCGGCAGGTGTCGCCATTTAGCTGCTTCCTTCACCGCTGGTTCTATGATTTACTATGGCAAATGATCATTTCGTCGCCTCTAATCACAGTGAATGATTATTAATTAGCCAGCTGAGGCTTGTAGACATTGGAATGGCTTGAGGATTAAATACCAAGTAGTTAAACTACCACAGCCGAGTGGATCATCGCCGGGCTGGGATGTGAAGTAACGGCGGAGGCAGCATCGCCACTTGTGACTTTTTTTCTGGGAACGATTCAGTCCATCCGGTGAGTGAACCTATAACCGGTCACTGGATTAATAACTAGTCAATGAACCCGCCAGGAGCAGGTAAGTTACATTAAAGCCTCCGCGGCCGTTGGAACTTAACCAGCTAACTTAGCTAGTTTAGCTAACGCTAACTCGACTGTAATTTGATAGAAGCGGGCTAGTAGCGAGCTAGCAGGAGAAGCTAACAGCTACATAAACTGTTTTGACATTTAACGTTCACCTTAATAAGCGCAGTTACGTGACTGTGCTGCACTTAAAGTAGCAGCACTACCTCTAATTCTGAGCTACACGTTAGTGAGACATGTTTCTGTGCAATATATTTCCTCAGTATAACCGTGAAGTCTCAGTTTAAATGAGCTAAACTTCGCCCTAATTGTCCCTTTTTCTTGTTGAATTTCGTTACAGCAAAGCTACACAGAACAATGAAGTGCCATGTCCAGTGCAGCCGCCCACCGCAGGATATCACGGTGCTCGTTTCACCACCCTTAGCTGCCTCTTAAAGATTATCACCAGTGTATAAACGGGCCTGTCTACTGTCAGGGCTCTGGTGGACCAGACGTGAGGAGAGAGGCCAGCTGGAAGTCTGCTCTGACTCCAGCAGCAGCCATGGAGGAGGAGGTGAGCATGGAGTATTTACTGGAGCAGGTGATGCACAACGACGTGGGGAAGAGGCTCCAGGTGGGCCAGGAGGTCACAGAGCTCATCCTGGACGGGGAGAAGTCCCCCGAGCTGGAGCAGGACCAGACCACGCTGGACAGGATGGTGGAGGCGGTGGCCAGCTCCTGGGTCAACTCCAGCAACTTCAAGGTGAGGACAGGCTGTTGGTTTAAAGGTGGAGACGCTTGTTGCTGGAGGAGAGGTGGGAAGAATAACACACTCCAAGTCTGTCACCATCATTTTAAAAATAACTGTAGAGATGCTCTGAACAAGACACTTGACTCTCAGCTGTTGTTACAGCTGCTTTTCCTTCACAGGTAATGGAGATATTAGTTCCATTAGAGCTCAGCTGATCAACAAACTAGTCACCTGTCACAGTGTTAAAGCTAAAGATGTCTGACTCAGTGCTGCTGTAAACAGCCTCAAGCCTCAGTCTCCACTTTAACTTCCTGACTCAGAAAATAGAGAGAAATGTTGTCACAGACGCCCAGAGCTCAAAGTGAAACAAACCCACAGTAGAAAACTTCAGAATAATTAGAAATAAATGAGAATTATTAAAAGGAAATTAAAGTAATTACAAGGGAAACAGAAACGCCTCACATTTCAGTTTTCAGTTTGACCTGTGACATGTTTGATATTTTTACTGTTGGGTCATTTCGTCTAATAAAGCAAATTATTTTTAAGATCTTTATGGATTTTATGTGCAAAAGTCTTAATTTGTAAAGTAACTGTGTCAGATAAACTCAGATTGAAACCTGATTCTTGCTGATTCCTGTAACTCCCTGATGTATGAACCAGTCCTCTCCACCCGACCAGTCAGACCAGTTCTCCACTGTTCAAATGTGTCTGGATGATCAGGATGTGACTGATCCTCCTCCACACGTGTCACCTTCCTGTTGTTGTTAGACAGTTTAAGGTTTCTCTTCACTGTTTCAGGACTTTGAGACTTCTGCGTGGTGTGAAGATGTTGATCCATAAGAACCAAAAACCATCTCAGTGTAGTTTCACACCTCCTCTCTCAGGCTTCTCTCTGGAGCTCTAGTAACATCAGTCAGGAGACAGTCTGTTGAAATAGCTCGTCAGGATGGATTGCATGCTCCTTTGCACTCCCCCCGCCGCCCGAAGCTTCCAGAAATAATGCACTTTCCAAGTAGAAGCACGAACACTGTACACAGGAATATCAGGAGTACAGAGTAAGGATTTATGCTCTTTCTCAATGAATCGTGAATTAGCAGCATAAAAGACCCACATTTTTCACTGTCACATCTCACAATGTCTCCACTGGTGGTCAGTTAGTTTACAGTGCGTCTATGATTGTCACTCTTTATTGTGTATGTCCTAATAAGTGTGAATCCTGTCGGACAGTGTAATGTAGTGTTGTAGTGACTCAGTGTGACCACAGGAGGGCAGTAAATACTCTATCAGTCAGTTTAGAAACATGTAGACATGAGTGTTTATAGCAGTTTGATAATATCTGTGTTCACATACAGAGGGTCATTATCAGACTGATGAACATTAGAGCTAAAATAATGCAGAAATGTGGAATAATGTCAGTGTGAGTATCAGTCTTGTTGTCAGTGCTGTATGTGGAGAGTTGTAGTTACTGACAGTAACCACTGGGGGGCAGTGATCATGGTAGTTTCTCTGAGTGAAGACATCACTGTTGGTATCAGTGTCGTTAACATCCGTCATTAGTACAACTCTATTAACAAGATTTAAGTCATGTCATGTGACATCATGTCATCAGTTTTTTCTTTCCACCACCAGAGGGCGCCACATCATCATCAAGGAAGAGCCAGAGTCCTTCACAGTTAATGGAGATATTAGTTCCTTTAGAGCTCATCTGATCAATAATCAATGTTAATGGAAACATCATGAGAAAGTCTGATGTCTTAATAACACATCAGCATGTGACGCACACACACACACACACACGCACACACACACACACACACACACAAAAAACACAAAGCTCCTTTTCCACACAGGCAGACATGAGTGTTTATAGCAGTTTAATAATAACTGTGTTCACATACAGAGGGTCATTATCAGACTGATGAACATTAGAGCTAAAATAATGCAGAAATGTGGAATAATGTCAGAGTGAGTATCAGTCTTGTTGTCAGTGCTGTATGTGGAGAGTTGTAGTTACTTATCAGATCTGACCTCAGGAATGAGATTGTGTTTTATTTAGAGGTGGGAGGAAAGGTTGTGAATCAGGTCTTGCTGGATTCCTCACTGAGGTGGAGGGAAATGATAGAGCAGAGTCTAATGAAACCACAGTCAGATAAAAGCAAAGAGGGAAGGACAGAAGTGGAAGAATATAGACGGTGATTTGCATGATCTGCTCCTGATCCCTCCTCCATCACAGGTGAAGCTGTGACTGATTCCAGGAAACAGCTCACCTGTCTCACTCTTTTCTCTGCAGGCGTCAAATGGAGACTCTTCTTCTTCAACTCTGTTTGAACCAAGTGTAAGTTTGCTTTGTTTGATACGTTCACTTTGTCTTTAGTGACTTCACTGCGTGTTTCCTGCTGTGTAATGTTTGTATTTGTTCAGTTCTTATTTCATCAGGGTTAGAGGTTAAAGAACTCTTGTGTTGAAGGATCAACATCCATGTTGTTGGATCATTGATTTACTGGAATCAAACAATATGATCAACAGCTGATGTTTGTTTCCTGTTCTCACCTGTCGGAGAACAAAGTACCTTTATATGTGGGTAGAAGACGTCATCTCCACCAGCGTAAAGTCAGACACAACAGAATACTGTTTCCTGTGAGTCCTTTCAGAGTAAAGTGCAGAGAGTACTTGAAGCTGTAGTGTTGCTGCCTGTGTTCCTGTTGTAGTGATGTGTAATGAGGCTGTTGGGGAGGTGGAGATGAGAAAAATCTCTTCACATTCACAGTAGAGGACTGATGTGGAGGGGCAGTCACTGTGTTATGAAGATCCATGTTGCTTCAAGTCTTCATCGTGCACATATTCCTGTCCTACATCTCCCTCAGACCAGGGGATTTGAAACAGTTTGAGTTTCTGTCTTTATGTGCTCAGGTCCGTATCACAGGAAAAGTGTATGAATGTACAGAGGAGAGTGTCAGTGATGTCTAAACCATGTTATAAAATATATATTTAGTCAAACTGTCTCTTTAGCAGCAGCTGAATCAGCTGTGATCAGCTCCTGTCTGCAGTGTCTCATGATGTTCTGTTTTACTGTGAAATTGAAGGAAGCTTTATTGTGGGGGGGCATCAGGGATAATGATATAAT